GGACCACATATGGAAAGAAGAAAACGGAAAATATACAAACAGGTAATGGCTTATATGAAATGGAACAACTACATCCTGTATTCTGCAGCGACTGCCAACGTCAGCCATCCCCCATGCTACAAGCCCATCTCAGTGTTTTGTCCTGAATACTGCTATACTGCCCCTGCCAGGACTAATTTGTATTCCTGGATCCCAGATGCTTTGGAAAAGAGGGTTAATTATCTTGCCTTTTTAATAGCTGCTGGCACATTCCCACAGGAGTACTCATTCCTTTGTGAGAAGACCCACTCGGTCTGCAGCTACTCCATGAACGTGAGAGAAGAAAAAAGTTAAATAAATCACACCAGAAATTAAGACCTTGCATCAGCAGCTGCAACAGTCAAAAGGAAGAGCAGAGAACTTGTCTGAATTAATGTGTGGCTCTAGCCCAGGAAGCTGGCTGTGAAAGGCCAGAACAGGAAGGCTTAGCACAGGACAGACACCACAGCTTTCTGAACACAAGAGAAGGGACTGAGGTTATTTCCTTTAGAGGGACATGGCCAAAGCACAGTACAAGTCATCTGGCCACATTAGGTTCCTCCACATCCTGTGGGAATTTCAATCCTTGGAGAAAGAAATCTTCTATTTTTAACAGGGGAAGAGCATCGTGCATTAGGAGACTTAACACAAATATTTTGTCCTTTAACTTGGTGATACAACTGCCTAGAATGGAAGCCCTTCACCCACTCTCCAATCAGATGCTTCAGCAGTAGAACTTGGGGGCCTCATCAGCCCAAACCCTGAACAACTACTTGTTGCAGCTTATTTTCACCTCAGACTATGCCCCCCCGCCAGCTTTTGCAAGGAACCTGAATGGCATGCTAGAAACATCACATTATTATGTGAGCACATCGGATCCCCCCTTCTCCACAAGTGCCAATTTTAATGGTGCAACTGGGAAAATACTGTCTTACTACTCGCTTAGCATGCAGAAGGTTTAACAGGTGGGGGGGGGGGGGGGGAATAAAAAGGAACCCCCTTGTTTTACATATGAAGAATGACACCAAGCATTTCTCAACTCAGACTTTCCTGGTGAATACTATTAACATTTTTCACATTCCAATTCACTCCCTCACATTCCAATTCACTCCTGGCCCATTCCTTACAGAAGCAAAGGTAGGCTGGGAAGAGCCTAGATGAATTTAAAACATGCGGTCTTAACAATTAAGAACAAAAATAGCACAAGCTAGAAGAAATGAAGGAAGAGAAAACCCCCTCACTTTAAGATAGGACGGCCTTAGGCAAGATCCCACGCATCAGACCACTTCATCCAGCTGCAGTTTAATGCCCACCTCTCACCCTTGTCAGCCCTACAGTCCAGGAGAGAAATGCAGGTCTACCAAACTGTGCTCACCCCTCATTCCTCAGTGCCTTCCTTCCAGAGGTCTGCAGCACCCCTTGTCCCTTCCTTAGATAGGATTCTCCATTCACTCTTGACTTTCACACACACACCATATTTCTCTCAGGCTGTTATTCAGTGAGGCCTTTCTCACTGGTCTCAGAGCAATACACCCTATGATGCAGGACAGCACCATGGCATCAGCAGCTAACCAACACATGGGAAACACTCTGTGCAGCACCAGGCTGCTTTTCCCTTTACACTTTTCCCTTTCTTTGAGACTGTTGCTACCAGGGGACCCAAATCAACAAAGTTTGTTTCCTTAAGGCTGGCACATCTTTGCCACGTATTCAGAGGGCACTATCAGCTCTTCCATGACATTGCTTGGTCACAGCACCAAACATGCAAACTGATACAAGCAACCACTGCAAGGCAAGTTTTGCAGGAGGACTCTGAAGTTACACCAGATATGTGAGAGTGGGAGGCTCTCAATCACAGCACAGCTGCATCTAGTTCAAGGTCAAATCAGAACAATGGTATTTTGTGCTTCAAGAACTCTTCACAGGAAGCTGAGCCGGTAACTAGTGTTTTATTTTCCCATGCCTTCTTGCACACTATTTCTGGCCAAAGCCATGCCAATGAAAACAAGATTATTTTTGAGATTATTACCACCGCTGTAATTGCCAGAAGGGAACAGACTGGATAGACACAAAAGCGTGGAATGGCTAAAAAAACCCACCAGTAGCTAACAGATGTGAGAATACAAGGTATTTTCAAAAGAGGACACAAAAGAAATCCCAAAGATGTTTAAAAACATCCCAGAAGTGAAGAAAAAAAAAAAAAAATTGAGCAAGTGTGTTCATGTTGCCAGACTTCAACATATTATTTAACAGAAGAGACTGGACGTCTCCTGCTAAGCCATCATAATATACGAACAAGTTCAAGTGCTGTTCACAAGAAAACACACAGCAGGAAAAGGAGCAAGTTGCATTTAATTACAACAAAGAGGGTTTGAGCCAGTTACAAGCCAGCTTACCCCAAACATTATCCCTTACTAAAGGACAGACTTAGTGACACCACATTAAGTTGTATCATTCCTTTCATAAAGCAGGACACCCAAACATTTCCCAAATTGTTTCTTTTACATCTTTTCTTGTATCACCCTAGCGATACAAGCTATCTTGCTGTGGTGGTATAGAAAATCAAAAAGCAACTATTCCCACTTCTTGCATATAAGGAAAAATAAGTAAAAACAAGGATTAGAGTATCATGAGAGAAGACAAACAGATCTCTACTTCAATATATCATTTACCTCCACTTAAAGGTGATTGATTGGAAATAATGAAGTTTAAAAAACAAACCAACCAACCCCACAACAAACAAAACAGTGGAACAGACATGAAGATATTACAGTGTGAATGGCAGCTGCTTACAAGCAGGGAAGGTGCATAGCAATGTTCACTGTTTTGCTTGTATGGCTTATGCAAAGGAGACAGAAAAAACGGCATTGAGAGACCTTAATGGTTACATTTCAATCTAATACATATAGCAATACTGCTTCTAAATGATAGCAAACCTCGCTCGCCTTGAGGCAACTAAGTCTTCACCTGCTCCACTGTTTTGGCTCTATTCTAAAGAGCAAGATTATAGGTGAACTTGGACCTCATTTGTGGGAGGAGGAGACCAACCTCATTCCTCCCTGAGGACAAGCATCCATCCTTGTAGGCCCAAGAGGAGACATTATTTTCTTTTCATAGCAAAACACCAAAAAGGAATATTTCCTGTTCTCAAGTTTTACATGAATAAGATGAATATTTTAAGGAGAAAGAAGCTTGAACATTTTTTCAGTCTCCTCTTTTCCCCACATGGCACTCATTTTGTGTTTGGGACTTGCAGGTGGTATCAAGTCCACTCAGACAGACCTGGAACTAGTCTGTCCTCTGTTTGACCTGGGCAGCCACAGGAAAGATGCCTTTCACCTGAACATCTTAGGCACTGAACGCTGTGATCCACTGAGCACTGAGGACACTGAAACATTAAAGTGCTTTTGGTTGTTTTTTTTTTTTAGTAAAACCTGAATGCATTAAGGGTCACATCCTACAACCCAAACTGGACCAACAGATAACATACTATTTTTACCGCTCGACTACAAACAACTTGATTTCTAAAATTACATTAATACAAATAGTAATACAAGTTATGACAGAAGAAACAGGTTTCCACAGAACATTCAAGTTGATGAAAGAGAAATAAAATGACTGGGAAAGACCTTTTACAGTTAAAACGCTAGGCAGCACAAAACATTTCACTAGTACCCAGCATTTCTGCTGGCAAGTAGCAAGATATGGCACATAGCCTTCTACACTGGAGCTCTCTGGAAGCAATTTCTGGGGGAAAAGCACTGAGGCTGAAAGAGTACTAGGAGGGCCCCTAAAACGCAAGTCAGTTTGCCACCCACCAGACAGGAGGCTAGTATTATTCCAAACCCTGCGCAGAAAGAGCTGCCACAGAGCGGCTGTCCTTCAGTGCCCAGTTCAGACATACTAGAAGCCTGATCTGAATACCTGAAATACTCATTACCTGAAGTATGAACAAAATGGAGGTAGACAGAGCAAAAAATGAATTGTTATTGATGAGAAAACCTGAAGGACAGCTAACACATTTTCCCTTGTATGATAAGGTGTATTTGCCTTGAAATTAAGAACAGGGAAAATCCAGTCTGCATGTAAAGGCATGTGCAATGTCCACAGTCTGTAAACACACTGCAACACTGCTCGAGGACAAGCACACTGCACAAATAACCTGGCATAAAGGATAGATTTGGATAAAATCCATAAAGACAGAACAAAGAACTTGTACGTTAAAACATAAAATGTCTGATAAAATAACTTCTCTCTGATCACTAAGAGCAGAACTAAAAGAAGACCCAAACACATCGCTACAAATTAAAGGGGAACAAACACAGAGCCTAGGACAATACCTCCCAGATCTTCCTGCTTGGATTACCTGTTCCAGGGGTTTAGCCCAAGTAAGACGTAACTCCAGTTCTAGAAGAGAGAACAGAGGTTTCAAAGTACTGGGACAAAACAAATCATCTTCCCCAAAGTGAAAGACTTCTCATCATGTAATTAGTTACATTATCTGAATCTCACCTAGATTACCTCAGGTTAAGTGAGAGGCTAGCCAAGTCTATTCACCCTCTGAATGCTTTCACGGTCATAACAGATGTACAAGATAAATCAGACAAAAGGAAACATTGAATTAACTGTCCAGCTATGAGAAAGTATGGAGGGACTTGCTTTTTGTTTTAACCCTTTTTACCACCTTGGTTTCTCTTGCGAACAACCTTCTCACAGATCCAACTTTTACCATTTCATATGTCATAACCGCTATTTAAAAATGAGTCAAGAGGATATGTTAAACACCGAAGATAGAAGTTTAGACTATGGAAAATGAGGATGAACACATTGATACAGGCTTGCAACTTTAATTTTTAAAAGGCCCCTATGGTGGGACTAGCTATAGATGGCATCATGCTAATGCAAATGGAAAATATTTAAAAAAAAAAACAAACAAACAAAACCACTTTAAATAAGTATGAATTCACATCATACACGTGTACATACTTAATAATTTTCCATGTTAACTTTGTTTGAACTATAAATCAAGTCTATACTACTAAAAATTCGGTATGTGCAACATTAACCTGATTAAAGCATTTTATAAATACAAGCTTTTTAGTATTGCAACATACTTCACTACTTTAACATATTAAAAAACAAGTTCTACATTTAAAATTCTGATGTAATAGTTCTATCTGCCAATTAAGACTATAAATGGAAAAATACTTGCTAATCTTTAACATTATTGAAAAATGCAAATATATTTAATTTTTGGAAGAAAACCATCTTGTTTATACTACCGGTGCTTCTTTTGACATTTGAAGATACTACACTAACAAAATACAAACTTTGTAGTAAGCTTACAACATGTACTTCTCAGGCAAAAAGGAAAAAAATCTGGTTTGTATTTATGAAGGAACATCCATTTATTATAAAACAAGATAAAAGATATTAGAATTAAGTTGAAACAAGGCAACATTAGAACAACCACTTTAGAGCTTTGAGAACGAAGTGTAGTTTTAAACTTGCAAATCGAGGTGAATGTCACTGTTAACATGCTGTCCTCTTCTCTATAAATGGGATGATGTCGAGAAGCAAAGCTTCAAGGTATAAGGGTTGGAGCCATCTGTCAGGAGACAACATACAACACACTCAGGGCATTTTACTGAGCATAGCTCTACTGCTGATCGAGACCACCTTGCATAGTCTGACAAGTTTACCAGTTCTGTAGATTTAAGGCTCACACGTTCCCCACCTACCCCCACCAGTGGCCTGCAGACACCACACTACCTCTAAGTAGGTATTACTGATAGCCCATCAGCATTTTTTAGACATAAAAACAAAGTGATGGATCTGGTCGCAAGGGAAGGTAGATAGAATTCCAAATGTTGTACTACACATAAGAAAGACTTTACCATTATCACTGCCCCTCTTCCTAGAGGAACTAATTATAAAAGTAGTATTTAACAGGCGAGTTCAAAGACAAATGGCATAGGCATTTAAGGAAGTCAAGACTTAGAATGTGGCATTTCTATCAGAGACAGAGTGGCCCTGGGCACCGGACATTATTTATGTGTGTTTGACTGAGAAGAGAACAGCAGGATGTCCAGCACACCCTTCAGGCCTCTCCAAAAACCAAAGCATTAAACAACCCCACTCTATTTGGAAAGGCTGCCGAGACCCATGGAAGGCAGCACACATTCGTGTCTCGGGTATGGAAGAGATGTACTGCTGGTTCAGCCAGCCTCAGATGATCTTATTATATGAAATCTTAACCAGCAGTCCTTGTTTTAAAATACTGTCTTTTCCTGTGTTAGCTATATTTGATTATACATTAGGGTTTGCTTTCTTCATCCTGAAAGAGTAAGTTCTTCTGCTGTTACCACCTCTCCAAACTACGGTAAATCTGAAATCATGAACAGTACGCTACCAACAGTATCTTAAAAAATATTCCGCTCCTGAAGTAAGGAGTCCATTATTAAGAGGGGGACAAAAGAGGGAAGGAAGGAAAGATTTAAACTGTTAACACTTGACAGGGAGACAAATTCCTAATAGTTTGGAGAAGGTAGTTTAAAATAGTATTAGTCACTGTGCTGGATTCAAAATTATGTCTGTGAACACCTGGAAAAATTCCATTTAATCCAGTAAACTATCTTAATTGTCCAGTTCAGATTTGGCCTATTGTGTGCTTGTTTAGCAGGCAAACTCCTCCTCTACTCTTACTAGTTTGGAGCTAAACTCAGCTTGGCTTCACAATTTCTTGTTCGAAAGAGAACCCACTACAGGAGCAGTTAATTCAGAGCAGTATGCTGTGCAACTTAAAGAACCCCAAAGATACAAAGATTTCTCTGCATTTATTGTGAAACACATAAAAAGCTTCAGTAAGGCATTATCTGTTAAGTTTGATTTTGATGACAGTGGATTTTAATGCTTTTTCTGCCTGCCTTCTTTTTATCCCTGACCAATTTTTGGTTTTCCTCCATCTTTCTGTAACTTCAAAGCTGTGAAGCATATTTTGAGTTCTATAGGTTGACTCAAAAACTAAGAAAGAGTACCATTTAGATAGAAATGAATGGAAGCTAGAGATTAAATACTGTAATATATATAGTATTTGTATACTGTAATATATATAGTACAGTATACGTGTGTGTATATAGATATAAAATACAGCATATACATATATAAGAAGAACGATGCAGTTTTTTTGCTGCAGACTCAACTGCTGAAGCCTCACCTTTTAGAAAGACAGTATTGACATGAAGAAAACAAGAAAAAAAAATTCATACCAGTAAGATCAGTAAAATTTACTTACTTGGGACTCTTATCTGGTAGTGATTAAGTACAGTGAGAGCTTCCACTGCATCTGTCTTACATTCCCATTCCAACAGACCAGAAAGCGTTTTGGCAGAAGCTGTTAAAGTGAGAAATAAAAAAGGGAAGAAGGGGATCAGTAACATCTCTTAACAGAGTATGCTATTATGAAAACTGGAATTCAAGTAACTCCCCAAACAGGTCAAAGTTTACTTACGTTTTGGATCAAACACTTTGTATTTAATAAAGCTGAGAACTTCATGATCCTCACATAACTGTCACAAAAATAAAACAAGAGGTAAAACTCCAGTAAAAATGCACATAAACACAGTAGCAAAACTTCCAAGGTCCTGGAAGAGACACACAAAAAGGAAAATACTAACTCTTTAAGAGAGCTTCCAAGAATTTACGGCAAATTATTCTTTTAAAAATATGTTTAGATTGGTAACTCTTTCAAATACCATTCTATAGTACGCAAAACAAGGCTCCTATATCTGTGCTCTCCCATGATAACTATTTTATAGGCACAAAAATTGTTAGAAGTACTGATATCACTACCACCTCAAACGACGTATTTAAACAGAAACAAGTTCTTTTTGACATTCCCACTTCAATACAGTAGCTCAGAAGTTGTACATACAAGCACACCAATTTTTATTGAACTGAAAAAGAACTCACTGAATTGTCGTCAGTTTTACCATTGCCTCCACCTGAGAGGCCCAGCATTGCATGTTTTAAGCATCCGGAGTTCACTTAGGACTCAACTATGCAAACAGTTCCAGGTGCGCGCTTCTCTCCAATCTGAAACATCCTAGCAGTCATTAGAGTAACCACCTCAGGGAGTCAGTGAATCTTTTGTGAATTGTAGTCCTAACTTTCCCTGTATTTGGCTTTGTGTGAGTCTTTTCCCCCTCCTCCACAAAAAAAATGCATTAAGCTTCTCAACTTTATTTCCAAGATCTTGTTTCTCACATTAAAAAAAAAAGAGAGAGAGAGAATAATGCCAGAATTGTGAAAAAAATAGCAGTTTCTATATAGAGAGGCTACAAACCTGTTTTAAAAACCAGCCTCTTCCAGTTGCTATGCTGTAACTATCCAGTTATTTCTTTTTAAAAGTAACACAGTGTAAAGCTATGATATAGCCCCAAAGCACTATATGTCATTTCAACTGCCTACCTTTACGAATGTTTCTTCAGTTACACACAGGGGAACATTATAATAATGCAGCACACAAGAGGGTGGTTGGATGATGTTCTTAGATGCTTGGCCAGCACTGGTGAAGCGATTATTCTTACTCATTGCAAAATCCTTGTAACTACTCGTGCCATCCTCTAGTTCAAATATCTGGCTTGGAACTACTGAATGCTGCTTGGAAACACTGGGATTTAAGGAGATATATATCGAAAGAGACAGTTAAAAGTTTCTTAAATAATTAACACTTGCATGCTTTGCACACCAGTTATCAATCTAACCAGAACAGAGCGGACATTTCTTTACAGCAATTTGAAACAGAAGGAGAACAAGATGGGTTGGATTTGACATCTTCCTTCAAAAAACGTGGGAAGGATGGATAAGACACATTAAGGAGTACAGTTTATTAACAGCCAATCCATGTAATGCTCATATGCTTTATTAATATAAATAAAATAATAATAAATAAAATAATAAATAGCAACAAATAAATAGTTGCAAACTGGAAATCGTAAGTCCAACAACAGAACAATGGGATATTGTCCGTTTGCAACCTCATTCCATCTGCCTACTGGTAGACTATTAATCTGATAAAACATACTTACCAGACATTAAGTCTCTTTCCAAATAACTTGACATTGTTGAGATGTGTGACAGCTCTTTCCACAGCATACTCATCACCCATTTCAACCAGTGCCGTGCCTGGAATAGTCTTCATAAATTTCACCTAAGACAGGTAAGGGAAAAAATGACATTGCAACAAACGGCCCAACCAAGAGTTTTATAAGTTACTAGGAAATATTTTTAGGCCATCTCAGCCAGGCTTTTTCCAAAACAATCAAAACAACCATAGTAGTTTCCAAGTTTCTAATAAATTATGCCTTACCTTCTCAATGTTTCCATACAAGCAGAACAGGTTGAAGACCCTTGAACAGTTCATCTTTAGCTGATGCAACCCACTAACCATGACAACTGACCCAGAAGGATTTCCACCATGCATATAAGAGGAGGATGCCTGGGGCAACGGATAAGCAACAAGTTCTGGAGTGTCCCGAGATCCCATTCGGTACCGGCTCGGTAAGGGCAACAAAGGACCATGTGACCCTAAGGAGATGAAAGACCATGCTTTCATATTGTTTGAAACAAGTTTCACTACTTAATCATGCCTTAAAGCCTACATATGTAATGCATATTTAAAGGATGGGGGGGAACAACGTTACAGCAGTTTCCATTAATTCTTTTTCCAATTAAAAAAAACGAACCAAACAAAACACCCATCTTCATTCCCTTTAATGTTCCAAGTCTCTTCTTACATTATAAGAAGGTAGGAGCTACTTCATGGTATTGTTTTTATATAGCAGCGAAGAAAGGTATTTCAGTAACTACAAAAATCTTCCCTGCACCGTACAAAATGTGAACCTAAACTTATCAGAAGAAACATTTAAAATGAACTTTCAGCAATATTGCCACATCTACTTATAGAGCTACATGACACCAAGAAAGAATATTACAAAGCAGGGAAAACAAACCAAAAGGAGTGAACTTTTAGCCAGAGGTCAGGAGAGGAGATGACACAGCTCTCTTCTAGAGACAAGTCAGAAAAATGCCTTTCTACAAACAGCTCATCTAGAACAAACAGGAATACTTAAACCCCTACATTAAAGCAAAATCAAGCTGTCCCATTTTCCAGTACAGGTGAAGTGACAAGTTTCACTTAAATAAACAATTTTTTTTTGAATAAACAAAAAAAGAACATCAGTGAATACAAGGTGGAACTTGGAAAACTCTGGAGATTTGAAGAACCTTCGGAAAAAGAGTAGGTAGAAGGTCAACCTACATCATAAAATAGAAATACATTTGGCAAAGAAAATACACTGCATCTGACAGTTAGGAGAGTAAATAACTAGAAAAGCCACATCTAACTGGGCACATCAGTTTGTCAACCCTGACGTCTTGGTCCAACACATGAAAGTTACACCAGATCTTCATTTATAAGTAGCACTAGTAACAACTGCAGCACTTCATAGCACTAATTCCAAAACATCATTCTTATACAGTCACATAGCTGTATCTTTTCAGAACTAGCTAAATTAGAAGAAATGTAAAGCCCACAATCCACAGCTTTACATGCAAAAATATCAAAGAGCTCTGTGTTGCATCAAACCATTGATCAAGCTGCCATTTTCTAGAAAACTGCTTTCCCAGTACAGATACCATTTTCTATCCATTGCCAGGGTGATGGCAACTAGAAACACTCTTCCAAGGAATAAATTTGTAGAGCCAGATGCCCTCTGTGAAAGGAAGAGGTACGGCAATAAATTCACAGAGATTTCGGTGAATCACTAGCATTTTCAGAATGTGGACTGACAGCACCGCACGTACAGCACAACAGCAAACTACTTGTGCTGTAGGGGTCCGCAGTTAAGCACCAACTGAGTATTTAGCATTCCACATATCATGTAAAGAAATCATAACCACCTGTCACCCTATGTTACTTACCATAACCATCATGTCTAAACGATGATGGATGTTCTCCCAAAATAGCTTGCCTCTGGCGGCCCTTCCCTCTGTCTAACATGTGGGAAGGGAAAGAAAACAGTTTAGTATGCACAACTATGCACTTGATTTCTCCAGTTAAGACACAAAGCTTCTAGTTATGAGGCAAAATGTAATTTGAGTCCTTCTTAATTTTATAAACAATTTCTCATTCATTATATGTGTAAAACCACAAGCTGTAGCCCTGGGACACCAAAATTAAAAGACTGCCATCTGTATAACAAATTGCACTTAAGCTGATTTGGGGCAGTGGCCAATGAGGAGATGCAGACATTTAAAGTTTACGGAAATACCCAGTATTTTTCCTAAACAGACACCACACATAAGCATAGATAACACCATACAGCAGGATTTACCTATGTGTCTCTTAAAACAAATTTGAAATGCAGTACTTTTGAAAGACAGTACCTGAATCATAATATTAGCTTCAACAGCAACACATTTTCAAAGTGGGCTTCTTTCAAGAAGTTTCAGCATAAGCCAACAACAACCTGTATTACATGGTTTCATAATCAGTAAACAGAGAGCATTACATATGGGTACATATATATTTACAGAACACCTACTGATTTATGGGTGTGCTGAAAGGATTGTACATTATGGCATTATCAGCAGCACAGAACAGTTCAACTGAAGAAAAACCATCACTGAATAATGCACCTAACAACCGTCAATCCTTTAAGAAAACCCAGTTCTCTAGGATATAAAGTTAAGCAAGGGGTCTACATTACTGGAGGAAAGCAGTGCATCACAGCCAAAGTTGTATTTTCTAATCAGACCTATGCTGCATGACAAAGAAATTCTAAACTTCCAGATTTCCTTGTGGTAAGTGACAATTGATTTCTCATAATTAAAAAAGCCATGTTGAAAACATGGGGCAAGACATGTATCAGTTTACAACAGATCTCAGGAAATTTAAGCATGACTGCTGAAAATGGCAACTCCAGCCCAATGCAGCGGGAGGCATTTCCCCTGAAAAATAGGAACTATTTGCATTAGACAACACAACAGTGGGAGATGAAAAAGCACGCGCCCTTTCTGCTCAGGATTTTGAGGACAGGCTCCAAGTCAGCTATTTACTTTGGCAATAAAGCCTGAAGAGAGAACAGTGCTCGAATGCCTTCAAACACACAGAAGAAAGATTAACTTCGTCAAGTCTTGTTTTTTCCATCCCCCTTTCAGGGTAACAGCTCTGGTCCTTGGCTCTAGAAAGCAAATGGGCAGTCATATCAAGTATCTTGAGCATTCAAACTGTATGCAGTAATCATCTTTCAGAAAAATCAAGTTTATAATTCCAGCCTGTGGAGCTAAATCCTTTGAAATTGCACACAGTAATGTAGTAAAGGACCATATTCTTCGAATGAAGAATTCTGGGAGAACAGTTTGACAAATATTTTCTCCTCTTAACAGTGTAGTCCACCACTCCCTCCTTGCCCCATACCTGTTCCTTCCTTGAACAAAGCCCCTCAATTGTGCCAGTACAAATACTTATGCAAAGAGGCATTGAAACATCAGAACTGATCTGTGTTAAAAATAATTCTGAAAGGAAATATTCTTTGTAATCTAGTTTAAGTCTGGGGTTTGGTGGGGGGTTTTTGGTTTTCTTTTTAAATCAAGTCCTTCAGTCACTGCGTGTGCTAGTATTACCACCAAAAGAAATGCTCCACACTACAGTTTGAACTTTCTGGCTAAAAGCAAGTAGAATACTAAGTGTCAGGTAGTTTTTCTGGTTCAATCTAATGCAGTATGAGTTCACAGCAGCAGGCGCTTGTTAGGAAGTTTACTTAAGCGCAGAAATACTATAGGGAAGTCTGTAATTTGTTACCATAAAGAAGTAAAACCAGTTCTTTTAAAAAAAAAAAAAAAATAGCAAAATGCATCTCCTTCCTAAGATTTGGGGGTGGGCAGGGTGTGAAGTTCTGAAAGGCTGTATTAGCATGCCTGTCCTCAGAATGAAATTCCTTTGGGCTAGGATCTTGTCTGCTGAAGTCATATCCTTACAGTTCAGGTCACACTAAGTTCAAAAGCCAAACAACACTGCTGCAAGAGTAAGCTGAAGCACAAACACAAAAACACTCTCTCTCTCTCAAAAAAAAAAAAGGCTTGGATTACTTTATGAGCAAAATTGCTCTAGATGTCTGCTTTCTCAAGTATGTTTCAGTGTTCATTCAGTAATTTATATTCCCATTTTCCAGATAAATGGATGTAGGCTACAGTAAATGACAAACCATGCTATACACAATATAGCATGAGATAGATATACATATAAAAAATACAAGTCTAATTCTTTTCCTCTTATGTGTAGTAGAGGGATGTACAGAAAACAGAGACAGGATGTCAAAGTAACAAAAGGAAAACAAAAAAGTAGACTTCTTGAGAAAAAGCAAGCTATTCTAAGTTTTTCATTTTCCACTGTTTTCTCCAGCTTGGGGAACATTTAGTTCATACAGCCATTTCTATCTGCAGACCAATTACACAATGTCATTAGATGCACAATATTACAAGTCAGCCTCCAAACACTGTAAAGATCAAAAGATAGGAAGGTTAAATTAATCCTTCAGATTCTTTGAATTCAAACCTTCAGATCTTTCTCTTGCCCTTGAGTTTCTTCAAAATCCTTTTTTAACTCAGCAATTTGAGAAAAAAAATTTGAATCCCGATACAAATAGTTGTAATCTACAAGCTGAAACCAATACTGTAGCTCCCTTGTTAACTTTTTACAAGAACTTCATTTTGAAAATTCAAGCCCTAAGTTTTTAGTTGTACAACAGTTTTACAAGCCCAGCGTCTCTGCAGAATTACTCTGAAAGTGCATATCACTTGAGACAGCCAAAGCCCTGGTTCTCATATAGCCTTTGATAAGTAAGATACCCTACCTTGGACACATTGTCTTCACTTTTCTAACTTTACATTGCACACATTGTTGTACATAAGGTACTGAACACTGCACTTAATAGTTACAGTTTGTTGGTTTGTTTTTTTTTTTAAAAAAAAAATAAACACTTTACAGGAGTTAGGCTACACAGCAGTTTGTTTTTACATATATAGTCATAGTTTCCACTGACATGAGTTAAGCTCTAGTAATTTTTACAGCTGAGTACTTAAGAGACAGTATGCCTGTACCAATTATGAATTTCCCTGTTTCAATACTTAAATATAACTGAGGGGAACTATCTGCTATTGCACTGCTCAGTTCCAGCTATCTACAGATAAGGAATAAATTTCCCTACTACTAGACAATAGTTACACTGTTAAGACTAAATGCAACTCTCACATACAGCAAATAATAAAAAGATTACAATGTCAATGATACCAACAAGAGAGGTTCTTAATTTTGGAGGTTCTCAATTTTTCAGTTGTAATTTTAAGGGAAAAAAGACCATCATACATACAGACTTGGAACAGAATGGGTACAGTCTATCATATTATTCATCCCATACAAATCTGAAGTACTGAAAGTGTCCTCCTTTAAAAACTTGTGGTGGTGGTGCATGCAGTATGCAGACAAGGTGAATTGCAAGTCTGAGTTTTTTCAGAGGGTTTTTTTTGTTTGTTTGTTTGTTTGTTTGGGTTTTTTTGCTGATGCCGATGTGGTGCATGATGAAGTGTAGAGTCAGCCTGCTGAAGTCCTCTATCCTTCTTAATGCCTTGTCCAACATAGGGGAAAAAGAGTCCTTTCGAAGGAGAAGCAGTGTGCAAGTTTGTAGTTTGTAAGGAATAGTCTGTGCCAGGTTTCCTCTCCTCCAAAGAGAGAGAGCTGCTTGGAGAAATGCAAGTCCTTGAGAACTGCGAAGGTGCTTGCAGGTGTGGGCTCCTTGTTGAACTAAGTGGCTCAAGCACACAGCAGTATGGGGCACTAGGGCTCAGGGTTAATTTCCTGGCTTGTGAACACAGCCTTCAGCAGCACTGGCCTGCTTTGAAATTACTATTGCGATACAGCCTGACCACGTATAAAGGATTGTCATTAGTACAGTCAAACATCTACAGCGATAACGTATGCAAACCTACCTCGTCGGCCCAGATATGGTTTAGTGTAGTCCCAACTATCGTTGTCGTTTCTAATGACATTAAGTCGAGTTGGCTGTTCAAATAAAGTAAAAGCGAGAAAGGTTAAGTCTTGATTATACGTATTTTTCCAATAAAATTAAAAGAGAAGGTCCAAGCATTACCCTTGCGTATTCAATTTTTAGCGTGCAGCATCCTGCATAGATATCTGCTCCATTGAGTGCAGCCTTCGCCTTCTGGGCACAGAACACCGATTCAAACGTACACATCACATTAAGGATTTTTCCCCCTAAGTGTCTTATTCATGTCCCTTTCCTCTGATATGGCTTTATTTTTGTAACCTGCAGATATTTCACTACTGTATATTTTACAAGACCTCTACACAGACTTCAATATAAAATTACCAACAAGTTTATATGGGTTAAACTTACGCTAAGCATCTGGTTTGGAGATGTAAGCAGCACACGATGAGATCATTCATAAATTAGTAAATTCTTCAGTGAGCATTATATAGATGCAAGATTTGCTTACGCTCTGAGCTTATGCCATTTGGAAGGGGTTATTCTGGTGGATTTAGTAATTTTCATCAGAGGATGCAGAAAGTTACCAGCAAGCCTAGTCAATATTTGAAGGGAAAGGTCAAGCTGAATCATTTGGGAAGAGATCAGAGCTTGGGGGTGAGAAGGCACAACTTAAGGAAATGCATCCCTTGTCACAACTAGCATTAGCTAGATACTTGCGGGTAGGTAGATCATGAACTTTCCAGTGCAAAGAACTAAGAAAGAGTTTGCCCTTTTTACCTTGTTACCCAAATAAAACCGCAGAACTAAGAGAGATACTTTGAACAAATAATCATCTCGCATCAAAAAATAAAACACGTATCCACTGTTAAACCCCCTGTTCAAGGCAGAGCCATGTACGAGGCTCCAACATGTAGGTTATTTCATGCCCTCTACATACTCCAAGATTAGTTCTATGACTAGCAGAAAAGTGTACCTGAGCCTTGCACATGGCAATCTGTGATCTCATACATAGTTAATAACATACGGTGTCAGAAAGCCTGAACCTTGCAGCAGACCAGACATTTTTATATAATTCAGTGAAACTTTGGAAGTAGTCTGTATCAATAGCATATCCCTTGTTTTACCACATTCCTGCAGCGCACCTTCTTCAGTGATGTAGGTTCAACTGTGGAATTTAAGAGTGATAAAAGTTAAGCTTCCCAGACTTCTAAGAAAACATTTGACACTGGCTAGAACTGTGTGAGGACATCTGCAACAGTAATGGGTACTGCAATTAGCACTGAAATTTGAGTACATTTTTGAACTTGTGTTGCGTCTTGAAGCTCGTTTTTTTTTTCTCCTTCCCCCATTACTCTGCTCACATTTGTGCGTTTTCTTTCAATTGTTGGTTGTTTTTGTTTTTAATAAAAGGCAAGTTGCAGAATTTAATTCAAAGGACAGAAGAATGGTAGTTTCAGAGTATGTGCAGGATTCTCCCCACAACTTCCCTAATCTTCCACAAGATGCAGAATAACCCCCAAATGTACAACTCATCTGATCCAGACAACACTGCTTATCACAAACTCGACACGCTATCACAGGATGTTAAACTACTGTCTGTTAGGACACACAGTTTAAGTCTTCTACATAGATAAACAGCAATTAGTTTGCTTTTATGGAAGTTAGAGTAGTCCTTTTTGCCTGCCAAAGCATCAGTGCAGCTACTGGTTAAGTCATATGTTACAGAAGTGACCCACTAATAAAGCCTGCCATTTCGTTAGCATCTGAAATCACAAAAGAATTTCTCAGACCGCAGTACAACTTTGTCCAGGTAACAGCTCAGAAATGGAGGATAACCAGTCTCTAGGAAGAGGGCTATCACAGTTTTATAAACTAAGGTGTAATCATATCAAACCTCGGACTTTGCAAACCACAGTAACACATTAACAATTCTAAATGTTCATGCCACGTACAACTTACTGCTACAAATACAGCAAAGAGTAGGATAACGGAGCAAGGAATTTCCTCAACACATGACAAACAGATCAAGGAGGCCGAAGTCGGTCTCGTGCTTTAACAAAGTCAGAATAGTAGGACAAGCAGTATATATTACAACTGTTTTAGAAAAGTCTGAGGAAGTCAAACTGCATCTCTGCAACCCCTTACCCGTTTCCTGAGTACCAGCACTGGCAGAAGCCATGCAACTTTCGTGTATAATGGGTTGTCAAATTGAGGATATGTCTGCAATTATCAGCCTTAGGGCCACCTATAAACATGGTTATCAAGAGCATTGTTGACATCATTTTCCTATAAAGATGAAACCTGTAAGTGCTATTTTGTCTCATACACATATAGACATTAGAAATTACCATGTCTTAGAAAGAAATTAAAAAATAATTTGGTCTCAAAATTACACAGTATTTTTCTGACATTCTCATGTTAAATCCCATCTGCAGTCAAGAACCTCCGGGGGGGGTGGGGGGTGGTGTGAATTCACACTCAAAAAGGATATTCAACCATAGCTTGTATTCCATTTCTCTTGAATATAACAATGCGCTGAACTTTTCCAACAGGGTTGCACACAGTATACAAGACATCCTAAGGAAGAAGACAAAAAAAGTATTTTAGTCGGATGTGAAACTTCAAACACTAAGCCCACAGAACATTTTCTTGCATTGGCATTTGAAGGTCAAGGAGCAACGAAAAGGCTCATTAATGTTTCATTTATAATCTTCCCTATACAATTTATAAATCCATGATTACCATTTTTATGGATTGATATAGTACAGGCAGTCAAATCTGAAAACCAGGAAAAAACTTCTGTGAGAAGTACTCATGCAAACGTTAGTTTAACGAACGTCTTCAGCTGTGTTAAAACCCAGTAGTGGCATCCGTGTCTCAAGCCACACTCCCTTTTAAGCATACACTGTAGTAGTTTCACTAAAGCAAAGAGAGGCAAAGTGACACTGTAGTTATAGCACCTTTCATTTCACAAGATTCTAGCAGCTGAGGGGCTTTTTTAACTGTTCATGTCCATTTTCAGAAGATTAACTGGGGATAGTCCATAATGAAAGCTTTTGTAGCTTATCAAAAGGAGAATTTCAACCATATTCACCTGAATCAAAGGCACTGCAAGCGGTTGCTGTGCTTCTCCAATTAAGGCAGAGAAAACTTCTGACAGGAAATACTAGATTCATGCAAACTCATTGTTAACACTCCGCTTTCAACAGTGTTTGTCTATATGACAAGGAACCAATAAGATTCAAGACCATGCTGCATGGGAACCAAACAGCAAGGAGAAAAGCTTGCCTTACTGCACATCAGTCCAGACTTACGATGTGGTGCTAGGAGTATCTCAAACAACAGTTGATTACACATAAGAATTCAGACATCATGGTACCAGAAACTAGTCTCCAGCATGAATCTCGCCAAGAAAAATGAGTTTATTTTAGAATAATTATACACCCATACTCAGAATTCCAAAGACTCGGGCTTCAGAACCTGAACAAACAGGAATTGTGATTTCTTGAAACAATTCACCTGTTACATCATGTTCAAACAGCTGAAAGCACATAAACTTTACTAGACAGCCAGTTTCATAGCCAAACCTAGCAGGCAAAGGCACTGACATCTCCATGAAACACTCTACCACAATCTATTTTCCCCTTCCCTTCTTCCTATCTAAACCAAATACTTCCAAAATGCACATTCCAAGATCTTAGCATACATCCTCAGGTTTATTTGTGGGACAATAGGGAGAAGGGGGAAAGTAAGTAAGTATAGTATTTATTATTATGTTCTGCAGAATAGTGGAGCAATTGGGAGGCAAAGGGGTGGGGGGCATGCCGGATGTCTTAAAATAGAACAAACATACCCCCACATACACCACCCCACCCCCCACAAGAAACTGGAAAAAGAGGACGTCTTATTGCTGGCTACAGGTATGGTGATGTAACTCCTGGCTCACATAAAGTATCATAAGCTTTAATATATGGGTATATTACTCCTTAAAAAAAAATAAATTAAAAAACCCCACAACAAACTCAAAACATTGTCCATGCTCAGAGGCCTCGCTCCAGACACTCCAGCAAGTGTTTGCACAGCTAAACGAAGCAAGCAGAGGAGATTGTCAACCTTAAGATTTTCAGAAGATGGACAGACAATTTTAGAAAGGATTCAAGCAGCCTGAACCCCTAAAAAATAAGATTTATGAGATCATTTATAGGTGTATTTTCTATGCACACACAATAGCACAAACAGCTGCCCTCCATCTCCTCTTGTTTGGGAGAAAAAAGTCCTGAAAACTTTCCAGTTCCAGGTGATATTAATTTTCAGACATATGACTTTCTTTCACAATTTATCTCTCAAAAAGATTTCTTCATAGCCACTTAATTTAAAAAAAAACAACCCAAAGTTGTCTTCCAAAATGTAAGCTCTACTCAAAATGCCATCAGTGTTGTTAGCCAGCAGGCACACACAGAGCTTGACATTTTTTTTAATTCAGCTACTTTAGATTACCAAATCAAAGTGGTATACAATGATTCATAAGATAAAGTGGGATATTATAAACAAAAAAATAAACACTAGCATTATACACATAATACAGTATCATAAAAAAGGAGGTACAGCAACCTAATCTCAGAAGCAGTTGATAGTTAAGTTTAAAACACTTCAATTGCCAAGGCATGTCACACCTTTCTCATGCAGGTAGAGAACGTTTAGAAGGCAAGTGAGAACTAAGAGGCAACAGCAGAGGTAGAGCTGAACAGCCAGTAATGACTGCAGCAGCAGGGGTCACTTTGAGAAGGTCTGTTGGAACAGAAAAATTTGTTCTTACAATCCCTGACAAAGTTCTGCCCACAGATAAGGAAACTGGGAAACAGAACTCCAAAGACCTATATATGACACCTTAGGCAAAACTTTTTCAAAACACCAACCCTCCCCCACAAAGGGGTGGAAAGCAATTTGGAATTAAATACAGTTAACTTGCCATTCTTGCCCTTCACTGCCACACCCGTCTAAAAAAAATTGTGCCAGGAAAGAAGCAGTTCACAGTTGTAAGGGAGGAAATAAGCTGCAGCAAAATTTTAGAACCATTTAGCTTCTTCTACAAGATGCCCTTGAGCAGACCAGTTTCTCTGCAAAAACTCTACCTTATTTTGAAAGAAAAGCTCTATGGAACAGTTTATTGCAGTTATTCAGACTTTGCCACTTAAAACTGGTTGCAATTTTTCATCTATTTTGTCTAACTGTATTTCAAATTTAAGGAGAGAAAAGTGTTGAAGAGAAAGAGGTGGTGTTGGGCTTTTGGGTTTTTGTGGTTTGGGGTTTTTTTTGTGTGTGTTTTTTGGCTTAGGGGTTGGAGGGGGGGGCACGACACTTTGCCTGAGTTAACTGTTTCTTTAACTCATTGGCCAAGTGCAAAATTTTTATTTTTCTCATCACATTCCCAGCTGTATGGGTACAACTGCTCTTCCCAGTTGCTATAACTCTACTGGTCTACACTGTCTTCACTGAGCTCTGATGCTCGCAAGTAATTTTGGAAATCTGTCTGCTTCTAGTGCTCGTTGATATACTTTAGGCAAACAGTTGGGGGCAGTGGGAAGAAGTTGGGGCCAATCAAAACTATGCCACGGTTTTTTGTTTTCAAAAAGGAGCTACTGTACTAGAGGCTTCATCCTCAGAATTTCTGTGAAACTCTCCTAGCCCAGAGCAATGCTTCTGCTACCAGTTTCCTCAAGCATCTACATTCAACTCAGCTGCTTACGCAAGCCAAATTTAAAATGCATGAATGAAACGTAGCTTCCAAAATTTGTATTCTAGTAACATGCAAAGAATACTTTAACTTAGTCAATGGATTTGTTCACACAGCTCAAAGCAGGTGTATTTTTAAACACTGACGAGAAAGCAACTCATACCTTGCCATGCTTTTCTATAAAGAAAGCTGACATGAGAAAGAAAATTCATCATCCACTAATAAATCAGCAGGCAAAAACCTATCGACATTCACAATGCAGTGAAGCAAAAAGCGTATGGAACTGACTGCTCGAAGCCATTTCAGGAATACTAAGTTTCAATCAATTTACTAACATAATACACAGTACATTAAACAAAACTTAATACTTGCATCAAGTTATATGGTTCCACACAATCCAAACACTTTGATCCATATTATCCCATATATTTCCCTAAGAACAAGCAACTTATCCTTGTATCACAGTTATTACAAGTCTGCTTAAAGTAGACTTTTAAAATTTTTTCCTGCAATATTTCTGTGCAATCCAATGTGCACTATAAAATCCCTATGAAAAATATAAGCATTCAATGCACGAGAAAACATGCACTCTTAAATACTTGCAAAAAATACCTGTATCATTAAAAAACATGCATGTGTGCCATAAATAGATGGCAATAAATTAGGATGCAACTGTATATATGGTATGATTAGAAATACTGAAGAGTAAAATATATCAGCCCAAATAAAAGTGAGGAAGATTCCATCAAACTGGAGTTTTTATGGAATCTTCCTCACTTTTATTTGGGTTTCAACCTTCTGCAAAGGAAATACTTAAGAATGAAGGACTGCAATAAAACAACCCCTCCTACTGGAAAAACTACATACTATTTAAAAATAGACCACTCAGAGCCTAAAACCTAAATGACATTCCTGATGTGACAACAGATTTGGAAATATTTCACAAGCATGTAGCAACTTAAACATTTCAAAATCCCGACCACTGAAGTTTTCGAATATATTGCAAAATATCCGTACAAGAAGACTGAATCACCTCAAAAAACCTTTTTTGCAGAACATGCATGTTATTTATGTGAAGATGGTGTAAAGCTTTGGTAGGTGAATTTAATTCCTGACTCAAATTAACAGTGTACAATTTTAACAAATAGTATACAATGGAAATAATGATTATTTTATATATATATGTATTATAAGACATTGCTGCTCCCTGCCTTTTATTATTTTATTTTAAAAAAAAAAAAAAGAAGAAGAAGAGACATACCACTGTAATTGGGTAGAGAGGATTCTGAATTGACAACAGGAGAACTTTATTTCCACCAGATGGGTCGTCAGTGTTCCCTGGCCGAGTAATCCTCTTACTTGTTGAGTAGTTGAAAAAGGCTTGCTGTCCAGCAATGTATACAGGCTCATCTGCTGCAAATGTTACACACTTCTTTGCACTTTCTACATTTTCAAACTCCACCAGAGCCTGGCGCTTAAATGGCATCATCATGACATAGCTGGTGAGAGAAACATTACAGTAAGTTTTCCTATAGGCTTACTAAAAACAACTCCAAGGTCCCGTAACTGTCATATATGATATGTTTGTTCTAAACTCCTAACAGGGATGTAAAAGAAAGGTAGGTCTCCCTCCTTGCACTTACCAAACCTGGTCAACACATTGCTAGAGCATTTGCACAAAACAAAGAAATGCAGCTATAAGATAAATAAGTAATAAGCAGTTGTTTTCCTGAAAAAGTTTAATGCATAAAAACATGCAACCAATACAACAAACAGTTAATCATTTACTAACTTACTAGAACTACAATTAATATTAAAACAACAAACCTTGCTAAAGCCATTTATGAGGTAAAGGGTTAAAGTAAATGCAAATTATAAAACAAGTCAGACTCGATAGATTAAAAATCTTTGCTGTTGCTATGAAATTTAAAATACTATTTTTGACACAAAACTACCTTAGAGGAAATAAACATATTCTCGTTAACCAAATTCAGACACAGGCAAGCCCAAGAAGCTCTGTCAGCTGATTTAAGTTCTCAAAAAGTAAAACTCCCAGGCTAAAATGTACTTATTTGTATTCCTGAACAAGCTTGCTCTTACTTCATTTTATTTATTTAAGATACCAGTACAAGTATAATTCAATTATTTGAACATTAAGGCAGTGAAAAATACTACTGCACTATTTACAAAACGCTATTTGACTTCAATACGTGCATTTACTTGAAAAGAAATGCCTATTTCCAAAAAGAAGCGCTCAAAACTCAGAATAAGCTGGCTCTACCTATTCACTTTTACTATTTTATTTACAGATGAGGAAGGTTTAGGCTATACGACCTCTGAAGGGGCTTTCTCTGAATAACCACCTCATTCTGAAGGTTCTACTGCATCACAAGCACTCCTCCCATATAGAGCAATAGGGAAAAGCATCATCTGCTCTGTGGCCCATCCTTATTTTTGGTATATTCACTTGTATCAAGACAAGCACCCTCGTGCCGTTCTGCAGTCTAGTTTAGCTACAGCTCATATTAAGGCCAGGACCAGCTGTGCTACTGAAGTCCGACAGCAGATACTAAGGCATGCATGGTAACTCTGCTTGACCAGACTTGCCATGTACAGAAACACAGAATCTTCACGCAGCTAGATAACCTTCATGTTTTACTATTAATCAGGTTCTGCATTTCAAATGGCTATCATAATGTATTTAAAGAGGTCCAAGAGGCTTTTAAGTAATGCTCTCAGTTTGTCCAGAGACAAGACTTTATACTGCTTGACATACCATATGGTTCCAAACTTCTCAAGAGCTTCCACAAGATCTGCTTCCACAACCGATTCACACAGTCCTCGGACATGGACGACTGGAGAAACAGAGACTTTGTGATGACTTCCCCCAGCATCCTAGAAATGAAATGACATTTTAAAACTCAACACAGAACAAGGAATACTGCTGTCATTAACTAAAATTAAATATTTAGCAGACATTACACTGGGTCCAGAAGCAGCCATCTGAATGTACAGTCCAAGCACATTTTAAATAATTAGCTTTTCTTTCCAAACAGATTGCCAAGTTCGGTTGCTGAAGTCTACTTAAAACAAAATGCTTTGCAGATTTAATTAACGTGTTTGCACAGGCAAGATTTTTCTAATATAAAAAAAAAGCCTATTTAACACTTCGTTGAATTGCAGGATGTCTTCCACCCTACTCGTTAAAAGCATAAAAAAAAAAAAATACTTGGACATGCACCATAGCTAAAATATTTCTGACACTCTTCCTGTTTGGTTATGCCAGTATTTGTCTGAGTCAAACTGGGGGGACAAAAAAAGGAAGAACAAGGGTCATCAGTAAACAGAAGAAAATTGATTATTTTTCTAATGTACGCAGAGCTGTGCCCCACAACACAAGAAAATGGCAGCTCCGTACTACACTTGGAATAAACCCAACCCCCCTTCTAATTCTGAACACTCTTCCTCCATGTTTTGAAAAACTCGCCATTTCTGTACATATGGGCATGCTCTCTCTTTTCATCCCAAGGTTGACTACCATTAACAGATTCAGCCGTCGTACATTAGCACACGGAACTCCCACCACGAACATTTTTCAGAGCTACTGTACTGCTATGACTTCAAACAGTCTCGGTTCTGTGTGACTGGAGAATTCAGATTAGAATCAGCTCATCTTTCCATGCGAAGCCTGAAGCAGTGCTGAAATTTACCTTAGCTATTCTAAGACACAGAGGTAAAGAAAATTAAATTATGTAAGCCAATAATGAGAGATTATCAAAGAAAGATTAAAGATAATAAAGGACACACTAAAATATACTGTAATTACCAGCACCCAAATTTCCTATGTGTAACGGCAGCATAAAGTTGATGTATTCATATTTAGCAACTACATCAATGTGTTTGATCTAACAGATCAAGTCTTGCTGTTTTTCACTTTCTCGCACGAAGTAGTATAGCACCTTCTGGAACTGGAGACAGATTCTCATTTGTGGCACAAAGGAGCATTCAGCTCCAGTAATTAAAGTAACCACAAAGATTGCTGCTCCTGCTACAGACATTCCTCTCTTCCCTAGCTGTTTGAACTACAGATTCAAGGAAAAAACACATTCCAGATAACTACAAATTGAATCTTCTGTGTCTAATTTCTGCGTTCCCAACACAGTTCTCCCAAAACAACTGTGGGTTTTTTTCTTTAAACTGAGGATTTGATCAGTCTGTTTGAACCAAAAGTCAGCACTTCAGACTTCGTCAGACATCAGAACGTTCTGCCGTATAATTTTTTTTAAGTTTAGCTTATATTTTATTCATTTGCAGCATGAAAGATTTTAAGTGGCAACACACTTCTTTGAATAAGAGCTGGGACAATTGTGGGAAAACACCAGTAGTGATATTTGCATAAGATACCACATAACCTGAATTAATCAGCTGAGGTCTACTGCAGTAGCAGTGACCAAAGTAGTTATAAAAGGTTAATAATTTGAACTGCAAATACTTAGGCAATTGCAGAAGGAACAGAACTACACAGAGGTTTTTATTTTCAGCGTAGATGTCTTTACCCATCAAGACACTTTTCAAAGCTGAAAGAAGCACCTAAGGAAACCTTCAAAAGAAAACTGACAATAATTACTAGTTTTTCCTGCAAAGTGTATTACTCTAAGACCTTAAGATAGTAGGCATCTTTACTTTATTTACAGTCTTCAGAACAATGAGAAGTTATTAAATCAATTATTCATTGCCCCGCATACTTGTTACTATATTAAGATCCCCGTTAATGCTAAGGGTATGCATTTGCTTTTCTTTACTGCATTCAAGAAATCTCACCGAAAAATATTTCTGTCCAATCGGATGGCAAATATAAGCAACAACTTTCTCACTGAAGTGAAGACTCACTACAAAGAGCTACCTTACTTAATTAGCACCCCCATACATCAAGTCAAGCTTTTCAGAGTGGATCATAACAGAACGGTATTTCTCTCTCTCTCCCCTTCCCCGTTCAATCTTCTGTTATAGTTTCAGTTCATATTTCTTTGTCATGCATATCCCTTTGTATTTTTATTTATTAACAGTCCATTTAAGCTTGCCTATTGAAGATATAAACCCTTCTAATAGTATAAACTCTTTCACAAATTTAGACATTTATACTTGCATCTTCAAATCCATCATACACACATACACAGGTGTCCGCACATATACATGAGTATACACACATATACAGATGTCCACACTTCTACAACTGGAATTATTCTCAGAACCATCAGCAAATACAAATCTTGCTTTCATTTGTAGTTGAAGTAACACTTGGCTTTCCAAGCCAAATTTCCTTCTCCCGGAACACCATACAGAAAGCATCCTTTAGTAGGGTGTTGTACAGTAGAAGATTTAGCAAGAATCAAAAGACATAACACTGCTGCTATTGTAGCAACCTGCACAGAAGCTGAAGACATATGGAATTAAATAAATTAAAAAAACCCAACAAAATAAGGTCAAAACAAAACAAACAACCCCCCACACACAAAGCAAGTGAAATCTCAGTCACTTGCCATGAAATTCAGGACTTATCTACATAGCATTTCAGAAACTCATTTATATAGATAAAATCACTGAGGTTATAAAGGGCCAAATCAGAGGGACTCTGTTTTACTCAAAATAGTTTCTAGCCTGCAGCAGTAAACAGCAGCACAAGAACCGAGCAGAAGTCAGTCCTGAGCCAGGAAGCCAGAAACTAACATTCACAGAGCATATTGGTGAAAGATATGAACATGTGCCACAGGCATACGTTTGAGTGCAAAATCATGAAGGGCAGACATACATATCATCGCCAAACAAGTTTTGCAGCTACCAAGCTGCAGTACCAAGCAAATCTAGAATGATTCTTGATTTCCTCTAAAAGAAGGAGAAATAAAACCACTAGACCACATCAAAAAAAAAAATCGAACACGTCTGTGAGCGTAAAGCATCTCCACAGCTAAGGCCAGAATGTATACAACTCATTCAACTGCTGCCACAATTTCTCCCCAGAGATGAAAAACAGAGGATTTTGACCAAGATCTCATGGTCACCGTGTCCTGAAAACTACATGTGCTGCAGCTGGCACACAGTCAAAGGTTACAACAAAGCATCTGCTCTCATACAGATTAACCACCACCAGTACTTCTCTGCTTACAAAGGAGTCTTTCAGTAACTCCACGATGGCACAAAAGCCCCATGCATAACTCCAACACGAACAACACTTGCACTCCAGCAAAGCCAGGCGAACAGAGTAGCTAACGTTACTGCTGTACCATTAATATATATGGCTTAAGAGTTTTTGAAAGCTCAATAACAATTTCTTGAAGAATCATTAGCCAGATAGAAAAAGCAATTATTAACTAGATAATGGAAACACACTTTCTTTCTAAGTGCTCAAGACCAGTAACAAGGATAGAAAAGGTTTCCCTCAAGAAAGAAGCTAGGAACATAAAAATGCTTCACATTGAAACGGAGCTTCTGTAGAGAGCTGAGGCATGAAGGGAAGTGCTGACATAATCAAGTAGATGAAGGACAAACAAGTTACTACACATACATAAGACTGCAACAGAAGCAGCTTCAAAGAATAGCTGTAGCATTTTAACATCCATTCTTTGTTGACCTACATAGTTCTAGACAACATTTTAACTATATCACTGTTTTTTTGCTAACAAGTTATGATTTGCCATGTCAAAAAGGAAGATAGCCATTATGGGCTCTAGGATGACAGCTGTCCTACCAATTCCAGATTAGAGAATTTTTCACCAATTGTTTGCATAAATGCATCCTTTATCCTTTCTCCAGTCAGTATGTTCACCTTAGTTCTATTAGTTTGTACCACCTTTTTTTTGGACCATCTCCCCCATCATTTCTCTGCTTACCTCCTCCATCTCTCTTTCCCCTTACTGGGAAAACTCCTCCTTCATATCCTCACCTCCAGGTTCCTAAATATACTGCTATTTTATTTCTCCCCATTCAGATTATCTTATTCACTCTCAACTTTTCGGTCTCACTGCACCCCTCTTAAATGCTCTGAAATTGCTTTTATAAACATGACAGAAACAGGGGGGAAGCCCCAAAAGGTTGCTTATTAGGTATGTAAGTGCCCAAAACTTCATTAATGCCTAGCTATGGACTGATATGCATCCAACTGCCTTGCAAGATGTCGAGGGTAGCTAAAATTAATCACACTGTAAAGGCAATGTCAAGGTATACACCACAGTCCCCAAGAATCTCAGCTCTGCCCACTGGGGATGGTCTGATGAGGAAAGGCTTTCATGCACACTCTTCAACTGCATTACTTAAAGCTGTTTGCCCTGTTGTACATCATCCCTTCTGATCACACCTGCCTGACTTGAGCAGTTCTGTGTCTTCCCTACAGAGGTACAGCAGACACCTCTCTCGAGTTCCTGTAGCTTTGCAGTGACTATGGTATTTCCAGTACACAGTGAAGTAAGACAGCGTCTCAGAAGAACCAAGCAAACAAGACAAAGTCGAGGCTCTGTGGCAGTAAAAGAATATACTGGGTTTGTATATCCTGGATTTTTTTGGTGGTGGTGGTGGTTTGGGCGGCTAGGTAGGTGCTAGGCAGGAGAAAGGGGGTTAAGGTTAATCACACCCCATATTCTGGAAGGCTACCTGGCAATCTAGGTTTTTTTGGATGTGGAGTTTGGGGTATCATTTCTCATGTTCAATGCACACCTCTTCCTAGCGTTCTCTACCACTGTGTCCTTTCAACGATTACAACTGCTACAGAACAGAATACTTGCACTCTGGTCCCTTCTCCTAGTTCTGAATCTGCCCTGAATCATCAGGCAGTTGGAATAGAGGATTGTTGCAGCTCCTTTCCAACTGAAATACTGTATTCTGTTTTCCTCTCTACT